GTCTGGGCCCCTGGCAAATAATTCGCCCAGGGCCCAGACCACCCTTAATCCGTCCCTGCCCATAGGAAGGGCTAAAGGGGTCGGGTGCGATGTGTTTCAGGTGCGGCCGGAGATGGGGACCTTGGCGAAACGATGGTTGGTGGAATGTCACCTCTCGGGTTGGGAACGAGTTGGTGTGCGAGGCAGAGAGCTTGACATAGTCGGTCTCGCCTCGACGCACTGATCTCGCTCTGGAACCAATCTACTTCAGAGGGGTTGGAGACTCTTCTATTCTGGACTTGCCCCCAGTGAGAGGCGCCGAGCAGGAGTGGGCATACTTGTTGCCCCCCATCTTGGTGCCTGTATATTGGGGTTCACCCCGGTGAATGAGAGGGTAGCCTCCCTTCACCTTCGGGTGGGGGGACAGGTTCTTACTGCTGTTGATCCTTATCGTATAACAGCAGTGCAGTTTACCAACCCTTTTTGGAGTCCTTGAAGGGGGTGCTGGAGGGTGCCCTTCCTGGGAACTGCCTTGTTCTACTAAGGGACATCAATGCTCATATAGGCAACAACAATTAGAACTGGAGCGGTGTGGTTGGGAGTAATGCCCCCCCCCCCCAGCTTGAGCCCGAGTGGTGGAGGTGTTCGACCGTGTCCTTCAGGGAATCCTGTGGGGGGTGCTCTGGGAGTATGGGGTACCAGGCCCTTTGTTATGGGCTGTTAGGTCCCTGTATGACTGGTGTCAGAACTTGGTTTGCATCACCGGCGGTAAGTCAGACTCGTTTCAGGTGAGAGTTGGACTCCGCCAAGGTTACCCTTAGTCTCCGATTCTGTTCATAACCTTTATGGAGTTAAAAGTTTTTGAAAGTGTCCGTCTTGGTGGCCTTAAGATCGCATCTCTGCTCTTCGCAGATGATGTTGTCCGATTGGCTTCATCAAGTCGTGATCTACAGCTCTCGCTAGAGCGGTTCGCAGCCGAGTGTAAAGTGGCTTGGATGAGGAAGGAGACCCAGAGGGAGACCCAGAAGAAGACCCAGGACACGCTGGAGGGACTATGTATCTTGGCTGGATGGATGGATGGATGATCACGGTTTATTATTCCAACAGTTGTACACATCCATTTTTAAGGCTGGATCTCTTACTGGTCACTAATGAAATTAAGAGTAAACACATTAACTAATGACAACACACCCATATCCTAAGAGAATCAGTCCATATCAAACTGTAGTATAGGGTATAAAAGGACTTTTTGCTACAGGTAACACTAGAGAATCTTGAAAATCTTTAATGATTGTTTTCCCATACAGACCGTAGACTGATTAAGTCTGTAACCTTGCATCCAAAAGAGTTTCATTTTTTGTTTTTTTTGTTTTTGCTTTATTTAAAATTACCCCTTTTTAACTGAAGCAGGAGTTCATTGCTAATGATTAGCTTTATAATAACAGTTCAGGATGGCTGCATAAAAACGTTAAGTCATCAATTGTGTGCCTACTGGTTGGTCTGGGGTAGAGTCAGTGCATAGCAAAGGTCACTTTGGAAGTATATAGTTTCAGGACTCACATACTTCTCTAGTGTTTTTTTGTGTCCAGGCTAATAGAATTATCAACTGTGGGACACTGGAGCATGTCGTGCCCTTTTCTGTTTCATCTTTGATTTGTGCATACACTATCCACACAGAAAAATCTCAGCCCTTCATGCCCAATCAGTGTTTCCTAGTTCAAGGAAATTAGGTGATGAATTAAAATTATTAAAAGTTCTAACTCTAACCCCAAACAGCTTGAAAATAAAAATGAACAAATGTGACTTTATAATAAAATCAAAAGTTTATTTTATTTGAGGATACTTCAAGGATTTAAAATAAGTGGAAAAACATTCAACAGACATGCAGATTAATTTATTTCATAAACACATAAAAACATTTCTTTCAAAGTTTGATTTCCTCTTTTATAATGAGATAGGGTGTATATTATAATACATTTTAATTTAACAATGATAAATAAACATTTCACTAGAAATCAGAAAAAAATCATTTTATATTTTAAAATATTTTTCAAAAGATTGTGTGATTGACAAATCCCTCATAACTTCACAGCCCAGATTAAAGTTGAAGATAATTTGCTTTTAACTGTTACTTTTATAGAAAGCTACACTTTGAGCTGATTCAGCAAAACTGAATCAGCTCTTTCATGCTGCATCCTTTCTCACAGCAAATGTCAGATATTTTTCCTGAAGCTCTTCTGATCCGAGAGGATAGGGGGTACCAATGAGGAGCCAAAGAGAAGAAATCCTTCCTTTCATTGAACTGTAGAGGAACACGAAGTTTCTCTGAAGTCTGGTCTTTCTCACTGAAGGCGTCCTGATTCCCTGTGCACAGGTAAAACACAAATGATTTAAGAAAATAATGACATCTCAATAAATGTGGCTATGGATAAATTGATTTTTTTTTGTGGCACTGAGTCTTTATTGACTTTTTTTTTTTAAACCCCTCAAAATATTTTAAGACATTTTTTCACATCTACAGTCATGAAGCAAGAAACAAACTTACAGATAGTGGTGTATTGATGTTGACCATGTTCTATATCCAGGATACTTCTTCTGAGCCGGGAGTTACCACATGATGAGACAGCCAGACGGATCAGGTCTCTCCCACACATCTTAATCCTGTCCTGTGCATGAACCAAATACACTTCTGCCACAAGCACAACTGTGACATAAACTACGAACTTAGCAGCAAACATGTTTTTTGTGTGTATGAATACTCCTTGGAGGTCAGTTAAGGCAGAAAGAAAGTGGAAGCGATAATAGATGAGGTCGGCTATGTAGTGACTTATAATATGAACATGAGGGGGTTTATATAGTCAGTATCTATTACCCACAGCTGTCATTTTTTTAAATCTGAGGCCACAGACTATCAGAAAGATGTATTCATCCTTGGCAAAGGAAAAGCATGTCCTGATCTAGAGATCGGTATGAAAGTAAGTTGAGGTCTCAGGGCTAAAACTGTCATTGAGATAAAAATCTGCTGCAATGCTGTTCTACTGCTTGATTTTAGAAACGTTACAAAAAAACAAAACAATCATTATGTGAAATGTTGTTGATCCTTAAAACTCTCAAGAAAATGATTTAGTGTTAATTAAAGGTAAAAAAGTTTAAAGTTTTTTTTCTGTCTCAAGTGTGTTGTCCATGACTGTTGATTTTGCGCACTGCACTTTTATCTATAAATGCAATTAACAAAACATATCTTAAAAACAAATTATGAAAGCTAAGTACTTGTTTTAAAAAGAGTTGCGTTTCAATCTTATCTTAACCTATCTTGAAGAAGGGAGGCTAATAGTGACTGGGAAACCCAATCTTTCCCAGTCACTAAACCAAATGTCAAGGACATCAAGCTAATCTCAAATATGGTGGCATAATCATGCCAATGAGGACGTACCCTAACCCTAACTAATAATAAATGTGAATAGTACAGTGTTTTTTGTTATAATAATTAGTAAATAAGTAATTGTTTATTTCTTGAATCTCTGCTACTTATGCCTAATTTGTTACTGTTAGCTGCTGAGAGCAAAACATCTGTCTGATCTTTTTGCCTTCAGCTTCAAGTAATCTATTTTATGTAAGGAATGTCCAAGTTGAGGATCCTTATTTATATTTAATTAATCTACTAAATTTAGTAATATATAGTCTTAATTTCTTCATTTTGGGCCACCTTAAATATTTGGAACTGAATGAACCATATTTGTCACTGTGTTTTTGCTACTGAAAACAGTTTAAAGCCCTTTTTAACTTATATCAATTTAAATTCATGAATTAAACATGTACTTTAGTAGGGTTTTCTGTATTAATGAACGTGTCTGACTCTGTATTTTATTTTGTCTTTTTGTCCTATGAGTAACCAATGTCAAAGATGTCCATTTCATCATTTCAATTTAATATGATTTATGATGGAAATCAGGTGTGTTGAAGCACATAAAACTTCTAAAACCTGCAGGTCAGCAACCCTCAAGGACTAACTTTGGACGTCCCTGTTTTAAGCTTTTATTAAATGACTGCACACAAAATGTCCACTTCAGGCAACATTTAAAACCTCCGGAAATGTCATGAAAATGATTTTCGCTTTTGCTATGGTTATTTAATAGAAGAACAGCACAAACAAAAAAAATAATGCAAATGTCACAAACAAACTACTTTTGTTCTTACAGAAAAGTCAAACAGGGGGGGACCAGTAGGATTACATCAATGCCAACTCCCTGATCATACTCTTTTTAATAAATTTAAATGTTATAAATGTTAAGATTTGTAACATATATATTAGTGTTCCATTTAGAAATAGGGCGTAAATAACTATTGATTCCCCAGAATTTGTTTTTTCCCAACCCTGATCCTCAAGGCACATACCCTGTAAGTTTCCTTCCTCTAGCACATCTGACTTAAATGAATGGGACAGATTTTCAGCTCTGCAAATGGCAATGAAAATCCACTAATTTGAATCAGGTGTGCTGGAGCAGGTAAACTTGGAAAACATGCAGGGCATGCACCTAAAAAAACATTATTGTGGTAAACAATTGGGAAACAATTTAAGACAATACAAATCATTCTTTTTCTAAAGCCCTGTGGCATTATTAGCATGTTGGGGAAGACAGACCATTTGATTGATATCCATGGACAATCAGACAACAACTTAACTAACCAACAACCTGGAGTGCCTTCTAACAGGTACAGGTCTACATATAATATGTTATTTGAACACATAATGATTTAAGTTGTTAAATACAGTGCAATGAGAGGTTATTTAAAAAATGGGTGGTGCCTGATCCTTCTGAGTGTAAAATGTATTCAGAAAAATAAAAGTATTTAGGTAATCTAAATACTGACGTATATGTTGACCAAGGTTCCACTGTCCATATGTAAGTGCAATTAGAAAGTATTTGTGCTTTAGAGATTTATTTTTCCTCAAAAGCAAAGCATCAACCACTTAAGAAGCCACTATGTCCTTAAAAACTCCTTGATGGATAGCACTCAATCTGATTTACAGTGCTACTAAAATAGCACTGTACATGACTAACTTTCCTAAGCAGGAAGAGCTCAAATCCTGGTAATCCTTGAAGACAAATTTTAGCAGTAGTTCCTTCTCTCTAATGACAAACCCCACACTGCTTCTGATATCTAGACTAATAGAGACAATATTAAAACAAAAAAAATCATAATCATGATATTTTGCTGCTTCTCAGTGCCTGACACGTGAAAGAGCATTGCAACAGGTATTTGAAACAACAGGACATTAATAAAGGGGGAAGACAACACGTATTTGCCGCCATGATATATTACAGGATATTTGCCTAAAGGTGCAAGGAAATCATAAATCCTAGTTTTAAAGTGTGCAGAATATGAAGAATTAAAAATAAATTGTAATATACAATATAGTTGTACAAAACAGTTAATAACACTCTTATCACAACATATTTGCGTTATTTGAATAGAATCACCAAGTTATTCAAGATAACTTATTATTTATAATGTTATACCTTAAAATCTTCAAAATTGTATTTAATTTAGTCAGAATTAGTTGGAGGCAGGTGTTATTCTAAAATACAGATAACAAGCTGTCCAGTAGGAGAATCATGACCCTAAAGTATGTCAATGGCAGCAGCTGTAAAGCTCATGATTAAAGCTTCTCTCAAGTTGCCAGTGACTCTATATCCCTCCTTAGATTATTTATCTGAACTGACATAGGCTCTGAGTTGGAGGCAGGTTGGGTTTTAAAGACCCAAGGGTGATAAGGCCATTTAAGATTAGTGAGGTCATTACCAGACAGATTTACTCAGCCTTCTCTTTCATGGTCATTTTGTCTTCCACTAGGTCGATAATGTATCTCATCATCAGAATCTTCTGGCTGAGGTTCAAAGCAGTTATCAAATTTACGCCTCAGACGTTTCTTGAGCTGGAAGGTGCGGACAAAGTTTGAACAAGTGTATTCCTGCTCCTTTAGTTTTGCATAGTAATCAGAGAACTTGTTGAAAAGAATTGAGATTGGCATGCCGTTGAGGATGATGCCAAAAGAGATGCAGCCAAATGCAACACAGCGACCAAGGTATGAGATCGGAACAACATCCCCGTAGCCAACGGTGGAGATGCTCACCTATAGGGAGAAAAAACATAGCATGTTACTAACAAAACCTCTCTCAAACCTTAAAAACTTTCCTAATTTTTGTCCCTTTTCAGTTTAAAAACTCAAAACTTGGCCTAAACAATGTTTTAAAAAATGTTTTTTTCTTTTTTTTTTCCACATGAGTTGCAGCTATAGAATTTGATAATGAACATCCATCCATCCATTATCTGTCCTGGTTATTCCCGGTAGGGTCACAGGAGGGCTGGAGCCTATTTTAGCTGACATAGGCTGGGTAAACCCTGGAAAGTTCACCGGTCCACACAAACTCCTAGGAACAATTTAGAGTGTTCATGTTTTTGGATGGTGGGAGGAAGCTGCATAACCTGGTGGGAACCCACTAAGATAACATGCAAACTTGAGAATAACCTTTCTCTTTTTTTAAACTTCCAGGAATGGAATACTGCATGTCTTGAGTGATATCACTTCACAGGTTACAAATGAGAATAATAAATCTTATGAATAATTTATTAACGTTATGAGAAACAAAACTGTAAACACAACTTACATTTCCAGAAAAGTTTAAGTTTTTAAACCAGTTTTTAAAACATATGATTTTCAGGCTCTGGCTACCAGTCCAAGGTGTACCCCGTCTCTCGACTATTGTCAACTGGGATAGGCTCCAGCACCCTGCAACCCTATTGGGAATAACTAATATAGGAAATAGATGGATGGATACATTTCAGGCTCTTCACTGATTAATTAGAAACAAACCCACAATTTTTTCTGCCAGCAACAGATTATATTAAATAATTTTATGTTAAATTTGTTGCCATCAACTAATTATTACTGAGTTACATTTGCCAGCCCTAAAATCAGAGAACCTCTGCGGTTTTTGTACAAGGTTGAGGAGTTATTTTTGCCATTCACAGCATAGTTTCTGGTTATTTCAAGGTGCAATGATAAATGCTCTTTTTTTCCCAAGGTACTCGCAAGACCATGTGTCTTTACTCATTAGAGGGAAATTATGCTATTTCAGTAAATCTGAATTTCACCAGGTTCAAAATGTAGATATAGTGGATTTTGAAAGACAATTTTTTCCCCCAACTGATTAGTCTGATTAGACAAACTGAAAAATGTTCTTAAAGTGATGAGCAATAGCTTACCAATAAGACTTTATGTTTCGTCAATTTAGTCATGTTCGTGTTCAGTGTTTGGTGTTAAGGCACCAGTTTTATTTTTGTACTCACTTTTTCCCTCTCGTTTAAGACCCAGACTTCCTCCCTTTGTTAAGTTACCCCCTTGTATATTGTCAATTTGTCTTGGTCATTTCATGGATGTTTACGTTAAGTATAATTCCCAGTGTTGAGTATTTTCATGTTCCAAGTCAAGTTTGAGTTAAGATTATTGATCCTCCTTGAGAGGGCCTTTTGTTTGTTTTTTGCATCCTCTTTTGAGACCTTCTTTAGTTTGTTCTTTGTGTTCTCCCTGAAAGTGCCTTTCATTTGTATTTTCTGGAAAAATACTTTGAATACTTTTGTTAATAAAACCACATGCATTTGAGTCCCTCAGAACTGTCTCAGGTCATGACAGACTTTAGTCATTACCCCTTTTCAAGACCATCCTGACACCCTTGCCTATTACAGTCAATCAACTAAATGTATGATCTTCTAGATAGAACAATAAAAAATTTTAGAATGATTTTTTCCTGAATGCAACAGTGAACTACAAAAACAGAAATAAACAATTATTTATCTGTTCATTCCACCAAGTCTCAAATATATCCCAAATGCCATGTAATTTATTTAATGACTTTTCTTAAATAAATAGATCAAAGGATCAGCTAAATCTATCACGGTTTAAGTATTATCAACAGTGATTATGTTGTTACTATTTATGAAAAACAATACTTATATACAATACATTAATGTTAAAAGCCATTTTTATCATTTTGCTTTTCGTTTACTCACCGCTGCCCACCACCAGGCATCTGGTATGCTGCTAAATGGTGTTCCAGGCTGATCCACCTCCACAGAATGCATAAGGGCAGAGAAGGTAAAAATTCCCATGGCAATGAACAGAAAAAGGCAGCACACCTGCAATGTTACAGAAAAGCACATGTCAATACTACTACTTACAAATATATGAAAACATTTATCTCTTTTTCATTTATATTTTCTTACCATCAGGTTACATCAAGAGGTTTGTGTTAATTGGTTCTGATAATGATGTCATGTTACACAATAAACACATGTGGCATGAAACCGTGGCAGATTATCGGATGAAATGCAGTCTCTTAAGCTCTGCTCAGACATCCACTCATAAACACCCACATAATAAACTTTTAAAGTTTATTTTTTCATACCATATTCTAAATTGTATGTACCATATCTGTGAGCAGACTTTTAAATGACAAGGGTGATCATTATATTTTCAAATAAATTTTTTCTATTTATTCTTCTCAGATTTCTGCTGATTTTCTTAACACAGTGCTGAAAATGTTTGGAAAAGCTTGCTATGTGTCAGAAGGATTTTTATTTTCAAATGTCTTCAAACACTTCCTCTGTTTCTTAAAGAGCACCATGAAAATATTTATACAATCCAAGCTTTTTCAAAGCATATGTTGTCTAGGTCAAAGATTCATTGTATCAAATGTGTTGGCATCTGGTGCAAATCTGTCAATCTTAAACCATAGATCTCCAACAACAAACTGTGGTGGTCACTGTAAATGATAAAACACAAAAGGCTTATTCAAAAGCTTCTGTGTGACCCGTCTGGGCTACTGTAGAAACATCATAGTCAGTTGTAGAGGCGGGGTTACCTGCAACAATTTTGGATAAAAACAGTGTTACTAAATTAAAACAAAAAATACTATTATTTTTGTGATATACTTGAAACTCAAGTGGTTAGATGGATTTCTATCGATTGCCTTTCATTAGTGTGATACTCAAACTCAGCTCATGTTGACAAAATGCAGAAATGTTTTTTGTAATACTCCATACCTGCTCAGAACACTGCCGGATGGTGAAACCAAATGCTCTCATTCCTGTGGAGTGCCGGGCAAGCTTTAAGATACGAAAGATACGCATCAGCTTGACCACTTTGAGCACTTTGCTGACTTTACTGACTCTTGACATAGCCTTCAGATCTTCCTGTGCACTTGCATCTTCAGAATCTATAACAAATGTCTCAAACATGATTTGGATGAAATAGGGCATAACAGCCACTAAATCAACAAAGTTGAGAGCACTTTTGACAAAATGTTTTATATTGGATGTGGTGAAGAGCCGCAAGAAATATTCCAAAGTGAAGAAAAGAATGGAGGCAACCTCCACCCACTCCATATAGGTTTTGCCTGCAAGTTTGTACTCCCTCAGTTCTTTGACTGTATTAAGCGTCATGGCAACAATAGAGATAAGAACAAAGAGACTTGAGAACACAGCAAAGGCTTTGGCTGACAGAGAAGAGTAAGGATTCTCCATCAGGTCCCACAGGGCTTTACGAAAGTCTCCAAGAAACATGGACTTGTAACATTCGTCATCTTGATGAGGTTTAATCTCTTCAATGAGCTCCTGGTTAACCTTCAGTTGATCTTTTATTTCATCCAGTTTCTCCTCAAACAGAATGCGGCAGCACCTATAATGGAGAAAATCATTTAATAAATGCCTGTCAGAGCCATGTTTGAAACATACAAATGGTTACAGATCTAGGCCCAATATAACCAGTAAATATTAGAAATGAAAAGCTTACCTAGGTGTGTCCTTCAATTTAAGCCCCCAGAAGAACATCTCTTCCTCAAAGTTGACAGGACAGAGACTGTCCATCACCCAAAGGACATTGCTGCAGTAGAAATGAAATATATAATGGAAAAACATTGGGTCCCTGTCAAAAAAGAACTCATTGCTCTTTACGTTGTAATCATCACAGAGTGTCAGTCGCTTTGCTGGATCATCACAAAGAGCAAGGACTCCTATTCGTGTTTTGGGGTATCGGAGGACCAAATGTTTGGGAATGTGAAACACTTTTCCACCGACATTAAGTTTGACAATGTTTGATTTAATTGGATTTGGTGCATCTTTGGCCTTATGTTTTATCTCGTCACAGCTTTCAAGGTTGTCCATTGAAGTCCAAGGTTTTACTGAGCTGTCCTGTGAAAAAGGGAATTCCAAATCGTCCTCTTCAGTGCTTTGGTTAAAGCTAATATCCCGCTTTACGCTTGCAAACAGACTGGAACGACGCTTTTTCAGCACTTTCAAACTGGGCTTAATAGTTGCCATTGTGCCAGGTCCTAAGCAAGTCCTAACAGCAGAGAGCTTCAGTGATGAGTTCAAATCGAGTTAGTGAAAAACAACAAGAATAAGCATATTCCACAGGAACTCCATTTGCAAAAATGATTCCGTGTTCATTTAAAAAGATCTTGTCCTCAGTTTGAAATAAAGATGAAGAAAGTGATACCAAGCTTTTCAATCAGCATGCAAGAAGATCAACCACACGAGTTGGGGATTCAGTGCCTTCTCTGATTCTCTAATCCTATTGCTGTTCTTTCTGTCTCAACGCAAGTTAAAAATACCGTTCACAAGGATTAGTGCTGTGATTTAAGGCTTTGACTTCTCAGAGAGCAAGTAAAGGCAGAGACACTGAAGTGATGACAGTGTTACAATGCAACAGAGGCTATAGAGAACATTAAAAGTTGTCCCCTGTCCCCTGTCAATCTCAAATATGGATAAACTATTAAAGAAAGAGATTAGTTCATATATAACTAAAACTTTGGCATGTAAATAAATTTGCATGGCCTATTTTCAGTAATGTAATGAGTTTTTAGAAAATACTTCTCTTTTTTAACATATCCCTGGACATTGTTGATAATCTGTTGAAAATTAGGCCAGCCATGGTCAAAGGTATTATTATTATTACAACTTTAGTATTTAAAAAAAAACAATAATAATAATAATGATAAATATAATATTATTATGTTTCAGCAAAAATAAATACGACGGAAATGTTATATTAATTTGTATAAGGGCTGGTGTGGTGAACGTATATGAACGGACTGTCAATTTGATCCGGATTTCTGACTTCTTCTTTTCTATTTTGGCGGATCACAAGCAACGTTTAGGTGCATACCGCCACCTACTGTACATGAGTGTGTAGCATCATTACTTCACATCTATTATATTCTATTCTTTAATTTTGTATTCTTAAGGTAAATAAACAATTCTTTCCTTAATTTATAAATATCTGTTATGTTCCCTTCATTTCCTAATATACCTTTAAGATTCCATTCATGCCCTATACTTCCAACTATTCTCTTTAATTTTTCCCTTTCCAGTTCATATGGCTTACAGTTCATCAGTATATGTCCTACATTTTCTTTTTCTCCACATCTCTCACATTTATCACTATTTTTCCTCCCTATTAAATAAAGTATGTCATTTAAGTAGGTATGCCCTATTCTTAATCTACTAATTATTATTTCTTCTCTTCTGTTTCTTTCATTAATGCTTTGAATTCGAACTGACTTTTCCACTTCATATAATCTTCTTCCTTTCTTATCTTCATTCCATATTTTTTGCCATTCCTCCATTTCTTTACTTTTAATAAGTGATTTCCCTTCCCCTTTCCCAAAAGCAATTGAAATTGTTATTTCCCCCCCTAAAGCCCTTTTAGCCAATTGATCTGCCTTTTCATTGCCTTTTACTCCTTTATGTGCTGGCACCCAACAAAACCAAACATCAATCCCTATATAATCTAAATAAAATATGATGAATTTCTAATACCAAATCTTTTCTATTATTTCCTTCTCCCTTAATACTTTCCACTACTGCTTTAGAATCTGTGCACACCACCACCCTGATTGGTCGAATCTCCTTCACCCATTGCAAGCTTAATATAACTGCCACCATTTCTGCTGTAAACACCGACAATTGATCTGATATTCTTTTATAAATACATTTTTTAAACTCTGGAATATATATTCCTATTCCCACATATCCTTTTAGATTCTTAGAACCATCTGTATAAATTTTAAGGTAATTATTATATGTATTTCTCAAATAAATATCCGTCTTTATCCCTATTTCATTTAAATTCCAATCATTTTTCATTGTATTAATTTGCAAATCTACATTAGCCTCTGGTATTAGCCATGGAGGTATAACGCTAATTAAGTTGAATTGGGCCATTTCCTTGTCTTCTAATCCATATTTTTGAATCCATTTCCTAACCATCCATCCAAATCCATTACTTTGGAACTTCACATATTCCCAACAATTTTGTAAAATATTAGAATTCACATGATCATCTATATTACTTTTCATTTTCATCCAATATGCTAGCGCTAATTTAATTCTCCTCATTTCCAGTGGAGTTTCCCCATTTTCAATTAAGAGAGCATTAATAGGTGTTGTTTTTACTGCTCCTGTACATATACGTAAAGCCCTACACTGTAATCTTTCTATTTTTTGTAATGATGTTTTAGCTGCTGCTCCATATATAAAGCTGCCGTAATCTATTATTGCTCTCATGAGAGCCCTGTATATGCTTAATAATGACTGTCTATCTGCCCCCCAATTATTTCCAGCCACAGCCTTTAACAGATTACCGGTAATAACTTTTTTACACTTGGTTTCTATGTTATCTATATGTGTTTTCCATGAGTAAGAACTGTCCAACCATAAACCTAGATATTTATATTCTGTTACTCTTTCTAAAGTCTGTCCATATAATGTTATTGTTTTTATATTAATATTTCTCTTCTTTGTGATAACCATATAACAAGACTTGCTTGCTGATAATTTGAAACCCCATTCATAAGACCATTTTTCTACTTTACTAATTGCTTTTTTAATATTTTCTACCACATGTTTAATATTTTTCCCTTTCATCCATATGGCCCCATCATCTGCATATAGTGCAGATTTTATACATTTATCATTATCATAGAAAATATCATTGATCATAATATTAAATAAAATTGGACTAATTACACTACCTTGAGGTATTCCATTTTCAACATTTTATTCATTTGAATAATCATTCCCAATTTTTACTCTTATTTTTCTATCTAGCAGAAAATTAGCTATCCAATTATACATTCTCCCACCTATTCCCATCTGTTTCATTTTTATAAGTAATCCTTCTTTCCATAGTGAGTCATATGCTTTTTCTATGTCAAAGAATACTATAATCATTATTTCCTTCATTTTTAAAGCTTTCTCTATGTCATTACTGACTCTAGTTAGAGCATCCATTGTTGATCTTCCTGTTCTGAATCCACATTGATATCCATTAATTAGATTATTCTTCTCCAGAAAGTATCCTAATCTATTAACTATTATTTTCTCCATCCATTTACCTAAATGAGAAGTAAGAGCAATTGGTCTGAAATTATTTGGACAGGTAGGATCTTTACCTGGCTTATTAAATGGTAAAATTATTGCCCTTTTCCAACTATTTGGTATTGATCCTTCTTTCCATATTTTATTAAATAATTCTAATATTAATTTCAGTGTTACTTCCGGAATCTGTCGAAACATAGCGTAGCATAATTGGTCCTCCCCTGGAGCTGAATATCCTGTCCCTTTCAATACTGTTTTTATTTCTTTCATGGTTATATTCATATCTAATGTTGACATATCTTTTTGACATTTTTCTAGTAAGTTTTTATGCCTTCCAAGTTTTTGAATCATCTGCCTTCTATGAGTATCTGTCAAGTGATCACCATTATGAACAGCCGCAAATGTCTCTCCTAATAACTCTGCCTTATCTTTATTTAAAACCACTACCTCCTGTCCTCTGACTAAGGATGGAATATTAACATTGTTCTTTTTCCCCGTCATTTTTCTAAACATTGACCACACATTCTGTAAATTTATTTCTGAACCTATTGATGAACAATATTCTCTCCACGTTTTCTTTTTTGCATCCTTTATAGTTTTCCGAGCTTTTGCTCTTTTCCTTTTATAATCAATAAGGTTTTCGATTGTTAGATTTTTCTGTAGTATTTTAAAAGCTTTATTACGATCTTTAATTGTTTTACTACATTCATTATTCCACCAAGGAACTACTTTCTTCTGACCTTTCACTTTTATTTTTGGTATGCTATAATTTGCAGCATTTAAAACATGTTCTATTATTTGATTTGTACACTCTTCAATATTACCTTTTAATGTTACTATATGTCTTGTTTCCTCACATTTTGTTTTAAATTTAACCCAATCAGCTTTATTAAAGCACCATCTTATTAATGTTAACTCTTCTTGTCTATTTATATTGTCATTAATTATTGTACTCACTGGAAAGTGATCACTCCCTAATGTAGATTCCCCATTTACATCCCATTCACATGCACTAACAAGACAGTCAGACATTAATGTAATATCTAGACATGAAACTGTATTTTTATGTATATTTACTCTTGTACCTTTTCCATTATTAAGACAAACTAATGACCTTTCATCCATTAATTCTTCCACTATTTTACCATTATAATCCGTCTTCTTGCTACCCCATAGACTGTTGTGAGCATTAAAATCTCCACACCAAACTTCTCTTCTATGTATTTTCCCTATTTCCTTAAATATTTCATTATCTAGATTTTTACATGGATTATAATAATTAATGATTTTAATATTTCCATGTTTCCTTAAATTAAATATTTTTATATTCACACATTCTAAGTTTTTATTTAATGAGTTTTTCTTATAAGCGATTCCTTCCTTAATTAAGGTGGCACATCCTCCACCACTACCATTACTTCTATCCTGTCTTTCTATATTATATCCAGGAATTTTAAAATCTAAGTTTGAGTTTAACCATGTTTCTTGTATACATATTACATCTGGTATTACTTCTAATTCATAAATATACTTTTTAAATTCTTGTCCATTAGCTATTAAACTTCTGGCATTCCATTGAAGAATATGAATAACCATCAACAAAGCTTGTATCCTAATCCTGACTATTTTCTGTTATTTCCGTGGCACTCAAAATGGTATGTATCTGATCTGCTTGAATTTCTTTCATATCTAGGAACCTCCCTGCTGCTGTAACTATTGCTTTTATTTTATCACTTTTCTTCTTCATTTGGACTGTAACATTAATAATATGACATATAAATGCTACAAAGTTTTCTTTTTTCACCATCATTGTATTTTCCTCTATTTTACATTTATGCAAACATGTATTATTCGTATTTGTTGTTGGCATTAATATTTGTCTCTGATCATTCAGTCCTTGATTTGTATTCTGAGAAGTGTAACTTTGATCTGCTTCTCCC